TATTTCTTTCATAGTTTACCATTTAAACTCCCTGTTAGCAAATAAGCTTTGTTATCCTAATGACGTAGTGTTTAGGCGTAATAACGTCAAAAGATTTAGGCTTGAGAGTATAACTTTTCAATTCATTTTCTCAAATTTCTGAAATTTCTGCAAAATGTAATTTTTTAGAAATAAAACTAACTGAACTTTCTTTTCATTTATGTCATCAAGATAATAGGTTTAATTATCTCAAAAAAGCATATAATCGACATAAAGAAGAATTACATTTTCTTCAAAAGAATGGTCGTTTATAAGATCAAGAAAGAATTCAAATATTAAATTAATTAGTTAAGCAACTCAATAGTGATTACAATTATATACTTGATCAGCTTTATGCAGAAAATTTGTTAAAATAGATTATTTTTCTTTCCTTTTTTTTTTTTCTTTCTATTTGATATACTATATTTTGATAATTATTTAAATAAAATTTTGCATATTATTATGTTTTGTCTTTTATAAAATTGTTCAATATTATTTTAAGAGCTGTCAATCATACTATTGACACTTTCATTTTCACTCTTATTTTCTTTTATTAAATAAATTAAAATAATGATTATTATCCTATTCATTAATGTTATACTATTTGTTTTATCATGTGATCAAAAACTATCACATTTGCTTGTAACTAACCACTTTCTATCCATTTCAGTTAATCTATTAAGTGAGAATTAAAGATTTTCCTAATAGAAATTCAAAATAATCTTTTAGTTTAAAATTTACATCTATTGTATCTGTAAAATTAAAAATTAAAATTAATAAATAAAATTTCTTATTTTAACAAAATGGAAAGATTAATTTACGATAATTTTATAAACCTTTAAGGATCTCACTTTCATCCAAATATTTTAAAAGGTTCTTACAGCTGCTGCTTATGTTTCCAATTTTACAAATCCATAATTTTATCATTATATTAAAAGAAACTTTCAATTAAATTAAATTCATATTGTAAATCCCTTCTGATGCTTTGATTTTATATACAATACAAAAATTGCTATCATGTGATAGTTGCTGAAGTAGTTGAGGCGGTAGTATTTATAAAGGTTAATTTAGATAAATCTGTTATTGATTTAGATGGTTTATTAGGATAGTTTATCTGGATGGTTGAAGAATATGATACACAAGAGGAGGTAATTGATATTCTAGAAGAGGTAATTGTTGTTCAGACTGTGATTCTGAAACATTATATATTATAAATGGTGGTTGACCTTATGGTATCATTGGATGACTTAGTAATGGTTGACCTGAAGAAAGTTGCAATAGGTTTATATATGCAATATATTGTAAAATCTTAGATGAAACTAAAAGTAATTTAGCATAAAAATTAAGTCTAGATCTAATATGGACTAGATTTCTAAAACCCAGTTTAAGAACTGAATCAGTGATTTACTAAAACAGAATTTCTAAATACAATATTAATTGACATTTTAAAAGTTCATGAAAATTAGCTGATCATTCTAAAATTTAAATTATAATTTTTTTCTTTTTACATTCTTTTTCTTCCTCTCCCCTTCCTCTTCTTCCACTTCTCTTTCTTTCTCTTCTCTCTTCTCTTCTTCTTTTACTTTCTCTCTTTCTCTCCTTCTCCCTTCTCCTTTTTTCTTTTTTGTAGAAACCTTGATTTTAAATTTTTTTGAAGATATATCTCAGTAAGTTTCAGGCAGGTGGAAATATTTATTAAGAAAGAAAGAACATTATTAATATTCTATTTTCTTTCTTTTTTTTTCTTTATTTAGTAGAAACAGAAACATTTGAATCTTATAACCTCTTATATTGACTTTTGAATATAGGTTTAAATAGATAGAGGTATTCTTTGATAAAGAGCGTTTTTAACAATTTTTTTTGTTTCTTTTTTTGTAGAAACAGCTTCTAAAACTATTTGGATAGTGAAATTTTTCTTGAATCACTCTTGAAAGGTAGATTTTAAATAGAATAAGGTTTTTCTTTGAGAAAGAACTTTTCTAATATTCTTTTTTCTTTATTTTTGTAAGAACAGCTTCTATGAACATTTAGATTATGAGATGTCTTTTAAATCAATGCTGAGCCTTATTACTTGTCTATTCACAAATTTATTTTATTAATTATATAATTAAAAAAATCATAATAGTATTTATAAATATCTCAATATTTATTTAACAATAGACTGATTAGTAATGTACAAATTTTTTAAATACATTATAAATAATAAATAAATTATTCAAATATTATATTTCTTATTATTGCCAATATTCAATTTATTGCAGCATTAGCTAATGTACATTACCACTTTTGATTCTTTTTAATTTTTTATTATACTAAGACTTTCTGAATACTTATTAGTAGAAAATTATATTTATCGTCATTTAATTATAAAATAAATATATATAAAAAAAGCCTAATTTTAAATATGGTTTAAAAGAAAACTGCTTTATAAAAAGTTTTGTGAATTCTTAAACTAATTTCTACAAAAAAAAAAATTTATAGATCATTAAAGTTTTCTATAAAAATGATTGATATGATCAGTGGAATATTCTAAAATCAATTTCAAATTTGAAAATACTCCTGAAAGAATTGTAGATCAATTTATTTTTTTATAAAAAGGTCCAATATTAACCTAATTATATCTAGGTATTACTTTATTTAAACTTTAATTTTATTGATAATTAACAATAAACAAAATAATATATTTTATTATCTATTATTGTTCTGTCTTTTTAGCTCAAACAATTCTCTTTCTAAAGCTACTTTTGCTTTAATAATTCAAGAGTCCATTCCTTCTGTTCTAACCATTTTTGTCTTATTTCAATATCATTTATTTGTATAACTTCATTTGAATTATTTTTATTTTTTTACTTTTTAGATGATTTAGCTGTTAAATTACTAGTAAAAGCTATGATTTCTGATTCCTTTCCTTTTTGTTTTTTTAAAATTATATGTAATAAATTATCCTTTATTAATCATGTAATTATTAATTAAAATATTAAATTAATTAACTTACTTGAATATTTAGCAGCTTCTTTATATCTATTGACCTGTGATTTATTTACACCACTAGCTGATACATTATATTTTACAAAATTTAATGTTGCATCCCATTCTCTATAATCAAATTCTTTAGCTCTAAGTATAAAATAAATGATTTAAATAAAAAATAAATGATTTTATAAAATATATAATAAACTAACTTACTTTTTAATAGCAGCTAATAAAGATAAAATGAGTTCTGTTTATATTAATATTATGATATGCACTTTCAATAATATTTGTATTATTTTTATTAGTATTCCAAATTTCAAAATTCATTTTAGTATAAGCTAGACTATTTGCTGATATAACCTAAGGAATTTTTTTATCTGCAAGCCATTCTATAAATAAAAGTTTGAAAATTAATATATTTAATTTTAAAATAAAAAATTAAAAATAACATACCTTCTGCAGCTTTAGATTTGCAATTTTCAGTTAATTTAAATGCTTTTTTTACTTGATTTTTAGTTTTACAAGTTGGTATAGCCCTCATAATATTTTTTATTTCTTCTGAAATATCTTTTAATTTTTTTATATTTCTAAATTAAAATAAAATTAATTTAATAAATATAAATTTTAAATTTTAATTAGTTATTTATTTACATACCTATTATAATGAATTATACATATTTTAAAAATATGCTTAAGGTATTCTTCAGCAAACATTTCTAATGTAAAAAGTTTTCAAGTATTTAAATAAAATTTTATTATTAAAAATATTTTATTTAATACAATAAATAAATTTATATAATTACCAATGGCTTGACCTTTATGTACATTAGCTATAATACAAGCAATTCTGTTAGAATTTGAGTTTAAATAACTAAATTCAATTTTTATTCCATTATCTTTTTCAACAATAGAAAATACTTCATAAAAAATCCGTTTATATGCTTCAGAAGATTCAGCATTAGTAAAAATTCTAGCAAATGTTAAAACTAAAAATATATGTATATTTATAATTAATTAATATTTATTATATTTATAAAAATGTTTCTTATTTAATATACTTACTTTTATTAATATTTTGATATAAGAGGTTATTTCAAATTCTTTTATGACATTATTACCAATTTTTGAATTAACATGTTTAAAAGCAATATTAAAAAATCATCTTAATAACCAATAATCAAAATTTAATGAATAATAGCTTATTTTAATCCTCTCATTAAATTAAATCTATTGATAGCAAAATTATAGAAATTTGATCTAGTTCTAGGATATTTCATTTAATATTTTCTATTAATAATATTTAAATTTTAAAATATAATATTTATGGATATTTCTAATATAAGAATTTTCACATTATTGTTAACGTTAAAACTGGCAAAAATTGATGAACCATCAAATATGATATATATGCCAAATCTGCCAAATCTGCCAAATCTGCCAAATAG